GAGTGGACCCAGCTTACGTGAGGACGTTAGCTGACTGCTATAAGGACTGTACAACGACGATGCAGCTATTCCACCGCCCCCTGACCATTCCAGTTGGGAAGGGGGTCCGACAAGGCAACACAGTTTCGCCGAAGCTGTTTACCGCAACCTTCAAGTGGGTGATGAAGTCACCGAACTGGGACGAGAAAGGCATACGAGTTGATGAGAGTCAAACCTTCGTTTTGCTGACGACATCGTTTTCTTCTCGAGCAATATCACTGAAGTAGAGACGATGCTGAAGGAACTGAACGAAATAGGGAGGAAGATCGGATTGCGACTAAGTCGGAAGAAGACTCAGCTCATGAGGAATGCCCTTTGTGAAGATGCAGAATTGAATGGAAGGCACCCCTATTATGGAGACATCTTCGTACATGTATCTCTTCAATGAACATGGAGAACGACTTGAGTGAGGAACTGAACAGGAGAAGAAGAGCAGTCTGGGCCGCCTTCGGGCCTCTGAAGGAAGCCACTGACCGACTGCCAGACCCGGAGCTTCGTACCCACCTGTTCGAGTCGATCATTATCCCGGTGCTCTGTTACGCAGCTGAGACTTGGGCCGACACTGCAGCCACGTCGAATGCCCTAGGGGCCACCATAGAGCGCTTGAGAGCAATCTTCTGAAGATGACCCGACGCAAGCAACATCTAGTCGGACTTCGCAGTACGGATATGAGAAGAATGTCCCGTCTTCGTGACCCAGCGGAATACGTTGCGAAAGCGAAACATCGACGGACCGCCCACATCATAGGAAGATCGACGACAGATGGACACTAAAAACGTTAGAGTACATTTCTCGCAAAGCGAAACTTCCCCTAGCAAGACCTCCAACGAGATGGCAAAGATGTTCGTGGAACGGGTGGACAGCTGAGCAATCAGCTGCTATTTTTGCCCTGGAACTCGTGGACGCAGCCACCGCCGACAACCAAGAAAATCGTGGATGTCTGAAGCGAGGGACAAGGATCAATGGAAACTTCTGCACTGGGGCCCGCGCGTCACGTGAGGACGGGCCATACAAGTATCCAAGTTAGTAAATATATATTCGACCAAGGTTCCGGCCTAGTTTCCTTTGTCAGAACCCATAATGTGAAGTTGATTAAGGCCCGTATGCACGTACATCCCCGCTGGGGAGGGGAGGGGATCTGAGAGGGGATACGCCATATCTCGCTACTTTCCATATCTTTCTTCTTCCTTTTCTATCCTGCTTATGAAGGTTCTCATACCCTACTACCTGCGCATAATCGATGCCAGGTTACTAGCATAACTGATTAGATTTGTACTATTTTGTGTGATCCCCTGGGGATCCCCAGGGGATCCCCAGGGGATCACCTCTCATTTTCAAAGTCATTTATCTTCCTGAGAAATCAATAAAAACGCCGCAAAATTGTACTGAGGACATACTACGGCACTGCTAAGCATGTTTAAAGTAAAAATAAGTGAAATCTCAGGATATCGAAATCTTCGGTAATCCCTGGCTCAAAAGCTAGGGATCATCGAAAAATTCACAATCTTCAGATTCCATTTTTTCTGTCGAAACCATGCTTAGCAGTACCGTGGTATATCCTCAGTACAATTTTGCGGCGTTTCCATTGATTCCTCAGAAAGATAAATGACTTTGAAAATGAGAGGTGATCCCCTGGGGATCCCCAGGGGATCCCCAGGGGATCACACAAAATAATACAAATCTAATCAGTTATGCCAGTAACCTGGCATCGATTATGCGCAGGTAGTAGGGTATGAGAACCTTCATAAGCAAGATAGAAAAGGAAGAAGAAAGATACGTAAAGTAGCGAGATATGGCGCATCCCCTCTCAGATCCCCTCCCCTCCCCAGCGGGGATGTACGTGCATACGGGCCTAAGAGTCAATTTCTCAGAGATTTCCATACTTGCAGGAAAAGTCTCAAACGTTGGAACCCGCTAAGGCTGAGAAGGATTAGTACACTTTTGTCATTAGAGGAAATAGCAGACCGCGCAGTGTTGTGCGCTTAACATGAACCAGGAAGTCTTGAAAGTTAAAGGCAGCGTCCAAGCAGATCTAGACCTATGGTTTACGTGGAAAGTACTTTTGGGGCCCTCATTAAGGCACTGTTCAAGCTGCAGCGCAGATAGTGTTAACCGAGTTATTCCTCTCGAAACTGGACCCCGCGATCGCATTCGCATGGATTTATGGCAATTTCGCGACAGGACCCACGCTTTCCGCCATGAATCCATGCAAAATACGATCGCGGGTCCGGTTTCGAGGGGAATATCTCAACCGTTAGAGCACTACCTGAGCTGCAGGTTGGGCAGTGGCTTAGTTAGGGCTCCAAAATTACTATTCACGTGAGATCCCAATGCGTCCAGACTTGCCTGGACGCTGCCTTTAAAGGCAGGGGTAGGGGAACGAAGGCCGCTAGTTTGAGCCGCTTTTCGCGGCCACGTGGTCCTTTTGCAGTGTTGTTGCATGTCGTTCGAGGGTTACTAGTCCGCGGAAGCGGCACAAACTGGCGGCTTTCGTCCCCCTACCCTAAAGGCAGAGTTGGGGGCAGATTTGGGAGCATCTCAGTCTCAAGATTCATTGATGCGGGTAGAATCGCTCCAGAAGTCTAGATATAAAGCCCCTCGATTCAATCTCGTCCTCCAGCAGGAAATTTGGGACACGCTGCTGCAGCCAATGACAGCGTCGCAAGGACCGTGTCCCGGCTTCCTTCTTCGATAAGTCGTTTAGTGTAACTACAAATATCTTTTCATCTTCCATAATTTTTTTTATTATCTGTAAAAAAACCACTCCTAGGTCGAAGAATCTTACGAAAAAAAACAAAGAACTTTACAAATCATTCAAAACTTTACATGTATTGAAATCTCATCGCAAAATGCCGTTGTACCCCATAGACGTGAGTTGCAAAGAAGCGTTGTACATACTTAAAACAACTCACAGCGAAGGCTTTTTCTAGGGATAGTGAGTGGAAGCCTCATCGTACGGCTTCCCGGTGCGCACTACTCGCACCGCAGCATTTTCGGGATTATGCTTCGCAGCTAGGTCTCTATGATGTAGACAACGTCACCGAGGTTACTACTTAAGTGGCGAGATATTTCTTTAGAGTCTTGTTTTTCTCCACACTTCTTTTTTGAAGTGGATGCGCAACCTTTTTTTCCTGCTAAGAGATCTTACTCAGTCAGAATGATGAGCAATATACCATGCAGACGTTGTTGAAAACGGAACTGGCTAGATTGGATGAAAATTTTGAAAAGGCATCGAAAGTCGGATTGGCTTCGATGTGCATTTTGACTTTAGGAAAACAAAACTTCCTGCTCAACTTCCGCCTAGCGTTTGTCGTGTTTATCTTCTTCTTTTCAATCTCCACTTCCAAACTGTGATTGTTCTGGAGACAACTGCAGGGAAGAAGTAAGCTCTTCCCCCCGTATTTCATAAACTGGCAGGTGAAGCGAAAACCTGGAATTTGAAATAATGTCAAAAAAAAATGCAGCCTTTTATCTGGTTTACTGAGTTTCTTTCCCTTTTGATATTCAGTTCACGTCTTCTTCCTTCTCTGGTGCTCTAGACAGCCTAATCTTATATATAAAGCTGAATGTCTGTTTGTCTGTCTGTCTGTCTGTATGTATGTCTGTCTGTATGTCTGTACGTATGTTCCGAATAGAAAATTCCATTTCTGAACCGATCCGGACCAAACTCGGCACACATACACTTCGGGCCCCGGCGGGTGTCATAGGCTACTTTTCGTCATCGATCGATATCGATTTTATCGATTTTTTGCAAAATTTGAGCTACGGGGCTGGAAGTTGGTACAGGGGGGTAATCGAGCATGCTGATTACGAATAAAATAATGACAAGGCCGGGCGGAGCCGGGTAAGCCATCTAGTTTTCTATAAGTGGCAGGGTTTCAGCAACTCAAGCCCCTCTACCGGACCGTTATCCGTCCAGCAGCACTGTGTGGCAGTGAGTGTTGGTCATGCACGCGAAAGGGGAGCGCAAGCTCGGTGTCATGGAAACTAGAATGCGACAATGGCCCTTAGGTGTCAATTTGAAGTTTCTGCAATGCATTGTAGGAGCTCAAACGAAAGTAGCTCCAATTGCCTAGAAAATGCAGGAAAAGAGATCGTGATGGTATGAGCATGTGCGCAGGAGAGAGGAACGGCCATCATGAGGTTGTTAGGTGCGGTGGAGTGTCTGGTGCGTTGTGTCGCGCCTTAGCGACTCACGCGAGGTAGATCCAATATATAAAGAATCGTTAACTCAATTCAAAAATCTGCAAATAGCAGGAAACCGAGAGCGGGTCCCGAAGCGAATGCCCTTCTAGATAGCACCTTCAGATCACTAGATTAGGTTCACTAGTCTGTATGGTAAAGTTTTGGAAGATTCTATTAATAAATTCTATTGCATTAAAAGACCGGTAGAACTAGATGAGGCAGCTCTTCCCTGTTGGTATTGCATACAGTGTGTACTTATAGTTGTTCTTTCCTTTGGTTACTGTAGGGTAGCTGCCTACTGACCTCATTTGTGCTTTGGGTAGTGTTGGAATTCATATTGTGCGCAAATTGAGTTACAAATGTGAATCAAAGACACATCTTATCTCATTTTATTGGGTACCGAAAACAAATTTTCTCTGGGAATCAGCAACTTTAGACCAAAGCTAATACTATCGACAACCTGTATGTATGAGACATCACATAAAGCAAGGCAAGAAGTGGTTGGTGTACATTCTATTCGACGATATGGGCAATAGATGGTGATTGGGCATGACAAGCAACAAAACGATAAAGTAAACAACAATAAGGCATTTATACAGCATTATAGAGTGGAGCATTTACCACTGAGCGTGGATTAAAGGCTATACGTAGGGTAGTCTCCCTGATTAATCAGACATTCCAGGTAGATTTGCTAATTTCAGCCTGTTCCTTTGAAAAAATTCAATCTTGTTATGGACATTTATTAAGGCGCCAGTAAAGAATGAATTGAATGAATTTGCCAGATATTTTGAATCTGAGATTCTTTCGCGAGGTCGTAGGGAAAGTTGACAATGTTCTATCGTTTGAACGCGACGTTCTGGATTCAGTAGACTGCACTTGAGAAACTTCCCGAAAAGCATCCACCAATATGAAATGCCCCAGAGGGAAGATTTTATTTATAGGCTTTCATATAAAATGCCGATGCAAAACGGGTCGCATATAAAAAAAAAGAAGTTAAGCAGCATTGTGTCGTTTCATATGTAGACTGAGATGATCTGAGCGAGAGAATGCTCTATCGCACAGGCTGCATTGGAATGGACGGTCGCCAGTATGCTTTCGCTTGTGCCTGAAATTAACAGAATTCTTATGATCAAAAGATTGTATCAGCTTTTCTGTTATTTTTTTAATCTTTCAGCTTTTTTCAATTTCAGTTTCTACGAATAACTCGACTATACTGTCTCCTCTTTTTCCTGTGGCTTCAACAACGAAGAAGATGTCAAAAATAGCAGTCTTTTTCTGCGCAGAGATGGCAATTGGCCTCGAAGTATCAGATAAACAGATATGATAACAATTATGACTCATCCGAGTAGGTAGACGTGGGCTATAAGTGCTAATACGTAAAGTGCTTCAAGTAGAGGGTTGTCAATATCCCGTTATTGAAAAAATCTTGAGAGTTGCATGACACTTGAAATGCGAGTGGGAGGATATCGTGAAGAATCTTCTGTTGGTCATTGTTTGTCTTTTCCTACGCATTAGAATTTTTTTTGTTCGAAAACTGGGTAAATAATCTTGACTTCTTGAGGCTCTGCTCCCTAAGAAAAAACAATACAGCAGGCGAAGTTGAGACTTTCTTCTACTCTCTACGCCCCCCCCCCCCCCCAGAGGTCAATCTTTCGTTCGAACAAATTTCTGAGTTATAATGTTTCTGACTATTTTTCTTAGGAATTCCTCATACCTTGTCAGCTCATCACTTCTTGCAAATTTCCATTCACAACCTTCCCATGAGCAACAATAGGGCTTTTCACCGCTATGCGTCCGCACATGAGCTTTTAGGTGGGAGCTTTTGGAGTATCTGAATAAGTACCGTAGTTCGACAGTATTTTGAGCAAATATCAATAAAATCAATAAACTTACGTTTTCAGGCATCCAGAGTAGGGGCAGGCATGCACAGCAAGTCTTTTGCATTCTCTGCCTCTCCGAGATCGACGGGGTCGATCGCTTTCTTCAGATTCTGTTGAACTTTCACATTCGCCACTGAAAAGTAGCACTTCTTGGAAATTTATTATCTTGTGGCTATTGCTTATTTTTTGGGTTCAGAACACCGTTTCCCTCCAAATTCCTCTCTTAGGGTGATCAGAATTCCCGCAAACATTCTCAGCAGGGGTTCAGCGCACTGCTGTGCCGAAAATGTAAATTTGCGGATCTAAGGGGAAGCTACACATTACGGCGGCTAGTATGCAAGGATATCAAAGAAAGTTCACAAGATGGTGTCGTAGCGGAACTTGAACTTGCTCGTATAATGAATTCAAGCTGGGACCGTAACGACTGTTGCGATTCGACATGTTGGAATATGTTTATGGGGAACAGGAAGTGATCGAATAGACTAAATGCATTCCTGGCAGCTAAAGAAGGTAAGAAAATCTTGATTTAAAGACCAACGATCATTTTTTTAATCTGCGGCCCCAAATAAGAGTCCCTGGCTCTTTACTTTTCTTGAAGTTCTCCTTCTTACTGCATTCTTCCACAGTTTCAAGGTTTGCTAAGTTTCCCGGTCAAATTGCCCATCTAGGAACCAGTTTTATCAAAACAACATGAATAACCCATTCCAAAATAACCTATGGGTTGGGTGGGTGTGGTCGGAATGAAGAAAACTCAAGATGCATGAGTCACGTATGTTCCTTTGTTGTTTAATTTTTATGAGTGTAACGAGGCGTTCTCTTTTCGACTTGGTAAAGATGAATGGGTAGGCGGGAGGATGATAACAGCAAAGAGAGTGCCCGATCTTGCAAAAGTTGTGATTTGTACAAGAGGTGGAAAGAAAAATAGATTTTCGCTTTCCAAAGTGGTTGGGTACAGCAGAAATATCTTTGACGGCAAGTTTTTGTTGAAATCGAGGATAAAAAAGTAGTGGAGCAAGCGGTCTCGAAAAAAATGAAATCTTGTAGCTGCTGCGCGACCTGTGAAGAACTGCTGCTGAAGTCGTGCGCGTGTCGCGTCATTTGTCGCATGGTCCCGCTAATTTGTAGAACTAATGAAGAAAGACACCGTTTGCATTGCAGTTTCGTAGGTACAGTAACGCAACGTTGACGGCAAATTATTGTTGAAATAAGGAGAAAGAGAATGCCATTTTGAGAGAGAAATGCACAATCTTAGTTTTTATGCAACGCCACATTTCTTCAGCTTGTCATGTTGCGCGACTTCCGGCGCTGCTGCCAAAGTCGTGCGCGAGTCGCGACATTAAATAACGAAACTGTCTGATAATTAAGCTTTTGTGATGTTGTAGGTTAACCCGGTTGATGCATTTTGGGAACAAGCAATTGATTTTTCTTCGCTAACCATTCGCTTAACTTGATAAGCGCAATCACTATTGACATCGCAACATTTTGTCGCATCTCGACTTTTTACACCGATAATGAAAATCACTTTGCATGCGTAAAGGAGCAGAGCGGAAATCACTATCACCTCGCGACGTTGATGGCGGTTGCGGTGTGTAAAAAGCCGTCGCGTACGAGGTCGCGTACGTAGTTGATGATTGTGTTCAATGCGCTCAAAGCATTAGCGCCATGCGTACGAGGATACGGTCGTGCGAATGAATGAGCGTAATTTCAGCGACAAGCGCATCATCAAATCATGCGCGTAAAGTTGTGTGTTCCGTAATTGGCAATTGACAGTGATTTATTTCCAATATTCTTGACTCTAGAAATATAGATAAAACTCATATTTTTTAGCTCGTAAAATTTGGAGACTGCAAAAAAAGCGTATTAAGGACATACATGTCTGCGATTGTGTATTGAATTCACAATGCATGCCTAAATTGATTCTCCAAACATGCAGATAAATGAAGAGAAGTTTAAAAAGAATTTTTACAATAAGAAACAGATATATTCGGACCGTAGTTAATATAATCCAGATCTTCATCAAACTTATAGCTGGATTAACTATGAAAAAAATTTTTGGCTATTGCTCCTGTAGTAGGTAATCATTGATCTAATTTATATAAATGAATTCGCAGTTTTGTTTCAATTTCTGTCATCTCTTTTCTTGAATAACCTAAATTTCTCTATTTTTTTCCGAATGCCGCAAAACTCAAGCAAAAAATCGATATATCGATCTGCCACATAAGATCCACCGGGGAATAAAGAGTGGAGGGAGGTAAAGGAGGGGTACGCTTTACATTACTATTCAATGAAATTACTGCAAAAATTTGAGAGGGCAGGAACCTAGCATTTTTCGATCACTGCAATCGTCTTACGGTACATATACGGTATAAATTTCGTGTTTATGTTCTTGGCACGTTCTTTTCGTAGATAAGTAGAATCTAATAATGATTAAATGGATCTTCCATCTCTAAAGGGGTAAAATTCCAGCTGGCAATCCGTCAAAGATTAAAAAACGACATCTTCGGTTTCTCTCCCCCCCCCCCCTTCAGTAAGACATTGATTTCCTATATCAGCTGTTAGTGTATATTCGAGTCAATAGCCTAACTCCATCACGGAAAAGCCAAAGCTGCGGAACACGATAGTACTTCAGCGGCCACCTACGAAAGTCAAATATTTGTCTGGACTATGAGTTGAGTTTTGCCTCATCGTCTTGGCATCACTACGGGTATAGAAAAAAAAATTAGAAAAAGCAGGCCGATCACATCACTTTCTTGCGCAAATCGTATCTTTTTTTTGCAAAAAGAAATGCAAATAAATTACGTCATTTTACTGCCAAATGAGGTTGTGAAATTCCGGCTTTTGTTAAGTTTTTCTGCAGTAAAATTCTTTTTGTCCCGCAGCGATAAAGCGCCATGTATGCGCCATATCAGTGCTTCTGTGTGTGTGTGTGTGATAATGATCGATAACGACGTGTGATTTCTCCTTGTTGCTTGACGGGGTTGGCTATGAAATTCATGATGTGTGAAGAAAAGTCGCGCAAATGAATGATTGCCGCCATTAACCGTCACCCACAAAATGCACTATGCGCTAGAAACATCGTCGATCACTCGGTAAATGAATGCAGTGGAAAGTGAAACGGAAATCGTTAGTGTAAATTTGGCATTTTTTTAGCGCGCAGGATGAAGGGGGGGGGGGGGAGGGAGTCGTGGTCAGCAAAAGGGCAAAACAATCATTTGCCCAATAATTTTTTACCCTAAGACCCACGCAACCTAATCAAATCTCTTACTCCTTGCGTCACTTGCCGTTCATTACCCCCACATAAAGACTATGACGTCTCTTGTTGGAGAAGATCATTCAGCTATCAGCAATGATTTTATGCGTGTTCCGAGACATGAAGAGATAATCGTACTGCAACATGTGACCCGGATTCGTTTACATTCTCTGATAAGCAAAAAAAATCTCTCTGCTTATCAATAAATCAAAAAATATTAGTGATATCAGATCTGAGAGAGACAATTAGCCGTCAATTAATTGCATCAAAAAGTGCGGTTTATTGCTGAAAGAGAATTCATCTTAACACGTTTTGACAAGAAAATTCGATTTTTTTGCAAAGGTTTTAGCGCGTCTATGCTCGTTGTCAAGTTTCAATTCTTTGGTGCAGTTGCACACAGTGCGTTTCCGAAACGCTTGCAAAAAATTCTACGCGATTGCCTTATCCGATAGATTTGGACTAACTTCAGTGTCTGGCTATGATCTGCTGTAACAGATTCACAGATCTTAAACGCTAATGATGGTTTAATGGTGAACTGCGTTCGCGTCAGAAACATCATATTCGACGACAAAAATGCAAACTTGGGATCTCTTTTCTTGCTATGAGAAAAAGTTACTTGGCGAGATTCTCAGCCCCCTAATTTTAGGGGTAATGTTAGAGGTTTGAAAGAACGCTCAGAAAATCATAGCACTTCAGCTACAGTTGAGTTTGCGTTCGATGTTCGCACTTTCCACCCGGGACCTCAGAACCTCTTAGAAGCAAATAGTGGAAAACAATGATTTTTCTCAAATAAATTGATCGCAATTGAATAAGTACATAATTCATCTTCTATCTTCTACAAGTGCTAAAAAGAGAAAAAAATGAAGTGGTTCAGAATTAGCCGACTTTTAATAAGAATGATACAGGGCATTTGAAAAATGGTGACGATGGCGTGACCGCGCGCGACACGCACGCCACTTTCGGAGATCGCAATTTCTTGGTTTTCATCTCTAGTCGAATGGTTTTTTGCTTACGTATTATTTAGACAAAGTGACTAAGCTGAACATTGAGGTGATGCCTTCTAGTGAGATCGTTTTATGCTTATGTACGAGCAAAGTCCGCAGCAAAATCATTGTCACGATTTTGTAGATGAACTATACTGTGAGATTACGCTCGCGGCGTGCAGTCACGTATCAGACACAAATTCGACAGATGTACCATTCATTCTGTGACTAGGAGACGCGAGACCGCATTGCACACATTTTCTAAACAAGCTTGATCGTGTGTTTAACATGTTTATACTTGTCATTTATCTCGTCCAGGTTTCCTCACCCTTTGAAAACAGGGAAGAACAAACTCAAACATGTTAAGACAATGTCCACAATGCGGTCTCGCGTCTCCTAGTCATAGAATAGATGATATGTTAATGCTACGTTTGCGCTACTTCTGTTTCCAAATCAACTGTTATCTTCACAAGCTCTTGCTACCTCTGCAGTAAGCGGAATTAACTTGCTGCTGCTTTTTTGATGAATATGTTTTTCGTAAAATGCAATGAGCGTATTTGTTTTCATAATCACATCATTGGTCGTTGTTCGCGGCACTACCATTGCGGTATACGGTAGCTGAGGAATGTCCAAAGCGCTCACGATGACAGAACTGCATAGCACAGCAACTGGTATCTGGCGATATAGTAGCTGATTTGATAGAGAACAAGAGCGAACACTTTGCAATAGATATTTGCAGAATTACGTGCTGTTGCGGACAAAACAAACAAAAAGCATCAAAGAACGCGAGATGAGCTCGAGAAAAGGTGAGGGCAAGCAGAAAAAAATCTATAAAAACGATGAAAAGTTGCGTGAAGTACGACCAACTGCTAAATCTTTCAAAATTCTCTCAAAATTAGTTTTATGAAACTCAAAGGATGTTGACTGTTAAGAATTACCGGTCATGTGAGAGTCAATAGAATTTTACTACACGTACTCTCCAAAAACATCAAGGGCACATTAGAATTCCAAACTTTCCCAACCACAGCCTGGGAGTGGTAAAAAATTTTCTTTGATTATTCATAAAAGAATGGAGTAGACAGAGAAAATAACCTTTTAGTGGACGGGGCAAGAGATAAGAGAGGTATCTTTTAGGGTTACAAAAAGGAAAGTTGAAGCTGGGCATAAATAGACTTTTGTGGTCTGGAATCACCTCTTCAAAAATTTTATGTGTATTCAGGGATACAAATTTTTCATTTTTTGAGGCTGTCTCTAGAAAATGCCAAAGAGCATATAGAAAATGCCAAAGAGAAGCAAATTGTGGTTGTGTTCGCTAAAGGAGAAATGGGATTAGTTTAGAAGTGATTATTTTTGAAAAAACGAAAGAGATTGAGAATGGAGGAAAGATAGAAAAGAAGAAGCTGTACTTGCTTGTAGTTGTTTTAAAAATTACTTGACCAATTTTATTATAAGAATTTGGGATCAAAGGTGATTGCAGCGTCAAACATATATCTAATAGACCATAAATTCAAAAATATCCTACCTGCTCGATTTTCGAATTCTCGTATTTGGCGTATTCAAATCTGGCAAACTGTTCGCCAGTGGACTTGCGGAATATGTAGCTGAATCGGCGCTAGTATACGGTAGCTCGGGACTGGATGGTGGAGATTCTTCCTTAATAGGTAGTGGTGGTTGTAGGGCTGGTAATGGCTGTGGTTGTGATGGAGTATAGTACGTTGGCATTGAGGTCACAGTAGTAGAATCAGCTGATGTGGTGGGTAGCATGGAACAAGTTGTGATTGGGGGTGCCACAGAGGCTAGGGCACATGTGGGGGCTGGAAATGGTCGTGGTGGTGGGGGCAGTGGGGCACAGGGGGTGAAGCTGGCACAGGCCAGGGTTGGCGGGGGCATGGCCAGGGTTATCGGGGGTTCTCGGACGGGTTGGTCGTGTACTCGAGGTGGAGCTCTTGTGAGCATTGCGACTGTCGGCGTTTCGAGTGGAGAGAATGCCAGTCGGCTGACCTCACCACAGCGAAAATTTTCTTGGTCCAGAAATTCGCTAATGTCATCCCAGACCTGCAAGGAAAAAATCTCTACCAAAAAATCACTTTAAGAACTATAATTCAACGAAAAATATTGCGCTCAAAAATCACTCAAATTCCAAACGGACAACTGACACAAACCTCGTTCAAATCGTGACAAATGACCTGTGTCATTTCCGTTCGTATAATCCGCCGCAGATAATAAAGTATGTGTTTTCAGTGATAGCGTGCACGTGTGTCGTGTCGATGCGAAGCGTGTTTGGCCGGTGAAGTTCCACTCGTCTCACAAAGCTCCGCCCACACTCGACTTCGCACCAATCGTCGTCGAAGCTCCGCCCACTCGCTGAGAGAAGTTCACCTGCCGAAAACTACACGTAATCTCTGAGTCATGCGCGTTGATTGTTTGGACAAAAGATGGAATTTCGAGAAAAAAGCAACATAAAAGGAGAAAAGTGAGTAGACGGGGATTACTAAGTTTTGTGTGTGTGGGTGTGAGATTGTGCAAGCGATGACACTTATTTGAGTCAAGATCGAATTTACCTATAATGATTTGTAAGCGCTAATGTCCTTTGGTCAGTACAATATACATTTTGAAAATCGATGGAACCAAGCAGTCAAATGACCATCAGCGATTTGTAGGAGATAATAAACTCTTTTCCTCATCTTTGTAAGACCAAAACTAAAGTCATTTTTTTCTATTCGGAAGTAAAGTAAAGTAAGTTTTTTCTCCTAATTGACGTTCTTGGAAAATTCCATGAATTACTGTTAAATAAGATTTTATAAGATTTAGAGACTATTAGAGTATATGATTTTATTTTCTATTGAGATATGACGATATTTTTTGCTTAACTTCAAACAATGAAAGAAATTTCTGGCGATCGTTTGAAGAAACATATTCTTATGATTTTTAAAGTTTTCATCCGACTTTTCGGATTTGAGCATGAATTCTCTGATAAGTTTTGGATGTTACCTATATTCGAACAAGAAGTATGTGATAATTAAGACATATATTTAACAAGAAATATACTGTATGACCTGAGAATTTCCTTATCTGTTCCTGAATACACTATGTTTCATTTACGAAGATTTTTTGTTGATGTTTTTGACACAGCATAATGGCAGAGGCAATCAAAAACAAACAACTTTTTTCAAGGGTAAGGGGTTCCAAAAAATGTATCGAGTTCCTGACCCAGGGCTCGGCAGAGGTGGCTTGTAAGCAAGCTGTATATCGCTTTTGGGACAAAGAAGCAAAAGAGGTATCGTTTTTTGTGGCCCGAAAAGACACAAAAATTGTGAAGTTTTTTCTATTCGACGTTTCGTTTTTTGAGGATTTTTTAACGTTTAGGGTTTAGGGCAAAGGAGACATCGTGAAAAATTCGAGAAGATCAAGGGGGACTTCATTTTTGCATTTTCCAAAAACCACCTTGTGTTGTGCCCTGTTCTGACCATTAAGCGCTCTGGTTTCAAATATTCTCGCAAATATTTAGGTACCATAGCAGTAATGGTTTTGCATTCTGCAATACGTAAACCAATGCCCATTCTTCATTAGTTCCAGGATTACGGTAAGAACTGTGAAATGGGATTTTATCTTCTTTGAATCGAAAATCTCCGCACGTTGTTCCCGGAAGATTGATTTTACCACCAATTAAAATGTTCAGCTAATTTCAGTTGTGAAAGTTTGGTCTTCAGTATTTTTCATTTATTACAAAAGGTAAATTAAGAATACGGTAACGGTTTACTCGTTGGCTTCCAAAAACACGAATTAGTATCTACAAACACCCTATAAGGCTCCAGCTGTCTTCAAGATCAGCTTGTCCAATACCGTCATTTTTCGATTTTTGGAGACCTAAGATACTGCTTCATCACGCGTTAATATCTAAATATAGCTAAATATCCCTGTCGCAGTACTACACCGAAATCGATCGCCCAAAAAAGTATCGAGTATTGCACAACAATTTTCGCGAAAAGTTGCAGTCTTGTAGGACTGCTTCAATCTTACAGCATATAACCTTTGATTTAACTTTGGCTGCCAAGGCGCTGCTTTGTGACCTAGTTAAGGCCGCTCGCGCCCGCTAAGCAATCTGCGTCTCTCTCGCGCGCATGCTCTCTGATCATTATTTAACCTTAACTAGGCCACGAAGAACCGCCTTCTAGCCGCCAAGCCAGTTGAATCAAAAGTCATCTCTATCTTTCTCTCTCTCTCCCCTCTCTCTCTCTCTCTCTCTCTCTCTCTCTTTCGTCCCAGCCTATCTAGCAAATATCAATGCAGAAAACTTCTTTTTACAATACGGAGTATAAATGATTCATCTTTTAAGCTGCATGATTGAGCTTTGAAAAAGTTAAGTACTATTCCGGATCTGGTTTGATTATGAAAATGAGCTCAATGACGAAAATTAGAGAACCGGATAATAAGTTTCTAATCATCAATGGAATGTTATCATCCGATGCTCTCGAAGACCACCCAAGGTATGGGCTGACAGATGTAATTCTGAATTAGCATAATATATGGATCATACTAATAATTTCTGGTACCTGACTTACAATAAAGATAAATGTTTATTTTTCTGTTCAAGGAGAGTATGAGCCATGATTAAAGTAGTTGTCTACTGAAACTAGATCGCAGACTCCTTTTTTGAATTTTTTTGCAAATTTAAATATTTAGCAACAACAATCGCGAGGCGTGATGAGACAATATACAAACCGCTTAGCTTTTTTAGACAAAATCTAGTGCAAAAAACCTCAACACCTTCTGCAGGAAAATAGTTGGTAAGATTTCCTGGAAAGTTGCCGCTAAAAGGATAGAATTTGGGGAAGAGGTGGGGGAGGGGGTAAAAAAATTACTTGAGGATTTTGAGTGTCTCGCTCGTTTATACGTTTTATAATGCTTTTCGCTATCACGTACTTTGTCCTCAACTCCATACTCAGCAGTATTCATGGTATGTCTTCATCTCATCATTTTATCTTATCAGTTCTTCTGGTAGCCATCCACACGCATGTATAGGGAAAAATAAGCAACAAAGATTTGCTGCTTGCAAAAATCTATGGCTGAAGTGTGGGCCACGGTAGATCTACGGTAGAGATACGGTAGGTACACGGTGACTGGCAGATGAAGTCAAACCTGATATTCACTTTGAAGAAACGACGACTTTTCATGCTAAAATAATTTTTATAGATTTGAGAGAGACTCTCAATGTTGTTGCTCGGGAGCAGGGAGGAAGACAAAGCTTCTTTGATCCAAAAAACACGAGATCAGATAAAAACCATTTGAAGCGGTTTTTTGTCGAAGATTGGACCTACTTTATTTCTAATACATTTGGGTCAACATTTGCAAATTTCCCTAGTTGGATTAATGGGGGGGGGGTCTGATATATTACATAGCTACTAATCAGCTCAATCAAGCAGTTGAGACAGATTGTGATGGAGAGAAGAAACAAAAAAAATTACCAGGAATTACAAAGATAACGGTGCTGACGACTATTCTTCCAAAGAGAGCAATTTTTTTAGTGTAAGCTGGAGCAAGAAAAATCATTGAAAAACTTTCTTGCAAATTTCGCGTGGATCACTTCCATCCAGGTGGACTCGGCCCTCTCACCACTCCCTTTTTTGGCTGACACGCCTTTTTCAAACCCGTCCTTTCGAATTTTTTTCTTGAAATCTTGCTCTAATCGAATTGGAATAAAGTTACCCAAAATAGTTCAATCCCTAACCATTTGGTTACCGCAATTATTCGGATACATGACCCTCCGATAAGCATGAAACCAAGCAAGTACACTTTTTTATTTTGGCCTGTGATTGCATCCCTACCCGATCTTGTTCTTCTTACGGAAGTCATGCATCACTTAACTTCGGATTGTTCGTGTGAAGAAAAAAATTGGAATGTCGCTCATAGAGAGTTTAGGCGCTACGGAATGTCACATGAAAAGGAGGAAATGAGGGAGAAAAAGAGGGATGAGGGTAAGAGCAAGATTTGCGAAAACTAAGGGAACATTTTATGTGCGGGGCTAGAACTTATATTACGAATAGTAGTAGTGTAGTATCAAGCACCATCTGACATACGAAGCAGAGCAGGAGCATTTGACATTGGGGACCAGTTTTCGCCTAATTCTGAGGCCTAGAGAAGACCAGCCGTTTGCACAGTAGATACAGCAGAATAAAAACGTCAAGCCTAACTCGAAACGATCTGTGACTCTTTACTCACCGTACACCCACTGTAACTCGCGATTTACACTTGGGTACTAGTTCTCGCCTATTCTAAAGAACAGTCCTCATTGAATCTATAGGCACTTATAGGACAACACCAAGCATCCGTAACAATCTCCACTTCGTTCTTATCGTATATCTACCGTAGCCCGCAAATGACACTTGGGGACCAGTTCTCGCTTGAACTGTGGCTCAGTTCTCGTTCAATATAGGCTTGATTGAATGTACAAGTGAATGTGCAATGTCCAAAATGCACAATTTTTTTATCATGAGAATAAGCATAGGCCGAAAATTCAAAAATTCAAAATTGAGTAGGGTTGTGAAAAATACAACATATAGATGGGCTAGATGCCCATTTAGCTACATCATTAACATCATGGAAAATTCAATTTCTGAAATTTTCTAAGAGAAGGCATAAAGCTGTTGCAAATCGGAGAAATGGCACAAATTGATTATTGACTGATCAGAAAACAATTAAAAAACGGCTTAGCACACGCCGAAATCGATAACGGGGCATTCGCGTAATCATGCATTATCAGTGTGTGCGCGTGTGTGTGCCTTAAGAAGAGTGTCGGAGAGCGGAACTGGTTGGCGCACAGCCGCTCAACTTCGTCGTCGCTCTACTCTCTGTACCCCATTCGGATGTGAAAATGTTGACGACAAACAAGTAGTAGGGAAGACAATGTGCCCTTAGTTAGGATGAGTAGAAGTTAATTCAATCTAGTAGGATACAGTAATACCGGTTACAGTACCTCGCGTGCCCTCAGCATGCGAGTTAAATCGCCGTGATTCCGAGTAATTTAAGCGCATGTGCACTCATTGATCAATTTATACGATTTCACTATTCTTTTCTGCATACTTCATTCGGCACTTAGCTCTTAACTCTTTTCCTTCCCCCTCCCCCTATTCCCTATTCTCTATTCTTTGAAATCCCCTAAACTGACGGCAGGTCTCGCTCTTAGCCAGTCGTCAACTCGACGTGAGATCAACGGAACTTTGACCGCGCATTTAGATCTAAGAAATTAAAGCCAGTGCCCGGACAAGGTGGGGGTTTTGGGATTTCAGTGGCGTGCGAAAGCGGGCCCCTCAGACACAGTATCACGCAAGTACGAGGTTATAAGACCTAAAGCAAGAACACCGATCAGGAAATGGGAAATCTTACGC